TCTCCGTTGATCGGGGGTATTTTCTCTTTAGGGCTAGATTTGGAACGATGCAGTCTCAGCTTCGTGAGTAAAAACAATATTTATTTTAGCTCGGTTCATCGAAGGTACCTTGAATCGAGAATATCAATTAACAGGAGCCGACGCGCTGACCACATACACTTCTGTATGCCTGTCAGGAAAAAATAGTGGATAACTGACTCGATAGACCTTACTATTCATGTGTTATTACATCAGTTATAATTATGTTAATAAAAATCATGTCAGCAAATGAATTTTAGTGAACAAAGGATGTTAAACAAAGGATTCCAAGAGAGTGAGTTCGTTTATACTAGTGCAATTACATATACGCTGTTTAAGTGTTCCATTTTATAGTACTCCGTACATTGACTTACAGGCCTTACGTTGCTTCTGCTATGAGGAGCAAGAAATACACGAGGCATATCAATGTTTGTAGCCGGGAAATCATACGTATAGTTGTACAAACACGGAGATAAAGTAATGGACCATTTAACTTCTATCAATCAGTAAAAAGTGCATTCATTGCTCTGCATGCTTTAATTTTCCAATTAATGTGAAATCATTTGGGAACTGAATGAATTTTGCGCAGAAAAATAAACTTTAATTGAAAAAATTAATCGAAAATCAAAACAATTTCGGAAAAAACTTTCAGATTTGGGTTCATACGTGGAAATCACAATTCTTTCACGTAAAGTGCTAGGGATAATAGCCTACATCTGTAGCAGATTTGCCTTTGTATATAGTTTTTATTATACGGGAGCAAATATTTTCATATAAATTTCTTAGCAAAAATACTCGTTGCTACATGTATTCATATTTCAATTCAATATTTGTGTTAGAAAAGACAACGAAGAGCTCACGAAATCAGGCATATACTGCACTTTACCTTATAGTACGTCACACAGTTTAAACTGTTTTTTACGTTAAAATTAAATTTTAAAAATATAATATTTGGCATAAAATATTTATTTCAATTAAATACATTAAATTTAATTAAAGAGATTTGTAACGAATTAAATGTTACTGATATTTAATCACTCTAAATGGTGAATTCTTTAACAGTTCATTGTGTTTTAGGGCGAATACTCCTTGCGTTCATGGTATAATTCTTGAGGGCTTAGTTCCGGTAGTTTTCTGAACTGACCGACAATAAGCGCTGTCAATTTTTTATTGGCAGTGAAGTACATATAATTAGTAAATGATGCAATGATAAAAAATAACAAATTAATAATTGGTAGATCGAATTTTCATGTTTCTCTGGGTTTTGTATTTGCATCTAATTCTAAAGCGGACACTTCAACACAACCTTCATTCAAACACAATTTCCAGAAAAACACAAACTTTTACAAGGAAACAACCATGTGTTTCTGGTAGGTTTTTACTGTGTTGTGAAATTGATTTCTTCATTATCGTAATCCACGCAGTGTCCGGTGGGCGTAACGAGTTCGGAAGCTAAAATTGAATCCGTTGAGTCGATTGTCGAAGGTCGATTCATCACGTCCACGCCCATTTAACACACAATTGTTATGCCTACATGGCGCCGCCTGCAATAAAAACAAGAGGTGTGTGGCCTTGTCACCGTATTAGGAGGACTAGACGTGGATGTGCCTTGTATGCAGAATGTTTTGCCCTAAGTGGAAATGGAGACACGTTATTTTGTCGCAATTTACCACGATTGTCGTTTACATCAGCTAGAAACATTGTCCAGTTTAATGAAGTTAAGTACAATGAAATGATAAAAATAAACTAGAAAGTTTGCAGAAGACATAATGATAGGTGAAAAAGATGAGATAAGAAAAATCGAAAATTGAAAAACCATTCGGAAAAACCTTTTTAATAAACCGTCTTTTTAATTTAGATTGGTTCACCCTTCTAAGGATTTTGGTTATTACACCCCTCACTGGACATTTCGCCCGTCTGTCATTAAGACATCACATATCGATACATTACGTCCATTACGGTTTTCGAACCCGCGAGCTGCAGACTAGGACGTGGAGGCGATTCCACTCCTAACACTTCGATCTCCACAGGCTGCAGAAAGCAATTGATTTCCCACGTTTCTGAACACGCGAAGCCCTGACGATAGGGAGCAGTCGCTATCAACAGGTTCCTCTCCATCTTCGTGCGACATCTTCCTCGCAAGAAGTGTCCCATGTGGCATGATAAGTAGGAACAAGGCAGACACTCTGTATCTGTCACGCGGAACGAAATGGCAAGTCGTGCCGCGTCTCCTGACTCCCATTCTCAATACAAATGCGTCTTTCGTCTGGGGATCCATAATCTGGTAGAATACTCCTTCCCTGAGACAATCACTTCCAATGGAGTGGTATTTACGCTTGTAGGAGAAGCACTAAGAGATGTTTGAGTTTCATTTTGATCAATACTGTACGTTAACTTTGCGTTACGATATTTTCTCTCTCATTACTCTTGAACTATATTCGTTTCTGTGACACTGATTAGAATTTATTTTTTATGAACTACAGCGCATATGTATAATGTGCTATTTTTAAATACTTTAATGTTTAGTGACTCTGTATACCTCGAACCGCTTCTGCCAAAAATGACGAAACTATGGCCCGTGTGGCGTGCCACATGTGTCAAGCGAACATTATATTTAAGGCGCGGTATGTATCGTGAACCTATGTATTTCGTCTCCCAGAAGACACATTTGTTTTGTTCACGCACATAACCAGCATTCTTTTGCCTTCAACTTTCTCAAATCGACAGTAAAAAATAGGCCAGGTATCTTCTGCTTACTGTAGTTTGATATTATTGAAGGAAACGTGTGAAGAGTCTGCCGTATATTGTAATACATTGACTACTAATATTCAGAAGCAAGTGTCATATATGTGATTTTCATTTCACAAAGTGAGTAAGAGATTGAATACAAAACTGATGCTAGCATTTGGTAGAAACTCGAGAAAAAGAATAAAAACAAAAATGAATGCTCTGACCACTAATACTACTTAATTTTTAGAACATACGAAACCAGACACACATTTGAAGGACCGATGCAGAAAAACGTGTTGACTAGTAAAATTAATTAAATTACAGTTTCGGCCACTGATGTACGGATACCCTTATAATTGTTTTGTAGTTCTGTTAATTTTCGCATTGACTGAACTATGTAGCGCTCTCGTTTGATATAGGGCGTCATTTTCGTACTACAATTTCATAATTTTATATATGTGCGTTTTTGATTATTTGAAACCGAACAAAGAAGATTTTCTCGTCGGCGTTATTTATTAGGATGCTTATTGATTCTATTTTAATACGCAGAAGAGTCGGAATAATAGAATACGTCACCAACCTGATGAACAGTAAAAACCCGCGTCTGAGTCCAGTAATAACAACATAATCCTTTCATCTTATTATGTATTTAAAACCGGCGTTGCTATGGTACACCATAAATACTTCAGCGTACTTAACACTAAACGAAATACAAAGTAAATCATTCTGTACTTATAACATCTTCTGGGTATTGTTTTCATAAAAAATATCTGTGCCATTTTGCTGACAAACACGTCAACAATGTAGTTTTTAAAGATATTTCTGATAATTTACGACGGATTGTTTATCTAAATGCCTCTACATCGCAATCTTTATCAAAATTTTCATCTGAATCAATGTACATTGCAACAAAATTTATCATGGAACGTGTCTCCCATCCATGCAACGTCGAGGTAGCCCACCATTCGTTGTATTTGAACGGGTGGGGCTTGACCTCACCTAATCCAATAACAATGGCTTGCCCGTTGAAATTTGTGGTTGAAAATGCCAAAAATTCTGAAAATCTAATTTGGATTTACTTTCCGTCTGGGAAACACAAAGCTGCAATATCCGGTAATAGCTTTTGAACGGGCGGCCTTTCCGAGAAAGCGGCGACAAAAGAAACCTGTTTAGAGATGTTAGAGATTTGTTTGACACTCATTAATCCAAAACCAAATTGGGGACGTGGTCGGTGATAAACATATAGGAATGATTCACATTTATTTCACAACCATTGGCTAACTTGTGCTTACGCGGTTTCATTCACTAAAAACACCACTAATATTCTTATTATTACGCCAACTTGAGAATATTCGCATAATATCAATATATTTATTACCGTTGCCAAATGCAAGAAAAGGACACCTCAAAACGTCATTTTTAAGAAATATTATTTTCATTCATAACTGTTGGATTGAAATTTAGTCTATTGTAAGTTTAATTAGTAGCGAATGATAGTAAATGCCACGGGCTCTTTTAAACTTGGTATTTATGGCTAGTCTATTTCCACCCGTTTGATGGCTTAATTGACAGGTATACGTATTCCCATTTTCTCTCCCACATGATTTACATCCTCCTACAATTCTTATAATTTTGTATTATTTTTAGTGACGATATTGGAACAAAGTAAATCACTCGTAAAATCTATTCCTAACCTCAAACGACAGATATTAAACCGACGATTTGAAGCATTAATACCTGGCGCTCCAGCCTATATGGCTGCCGGAAGAACAAATTTCGCTCAGCGATTGAACTGTTTTAGAACCTGTCAGAAAATGGTCTGAATGGACCATATTTACATTTCAGCTTTCGGAGGGAGCAAAAGCACATTTCATATTGGCGGTACAAACAGAATCAGTATTGATTTGTACGTCGTTTCTATTCTCAGCAAAAATGAATAGTACTGCACACACAGGAATGTATTGCCGGCCTGGATGGTCACGGTCGCTAAGGCTAAGGGGCCGTATCTGCCTTGGCTTGATAGGTCGCAAGTACGAATCACGCCTCGGGCATGGATGGGTGTGGTCTTGTCATTACGTGTCCTTCCTACAGCTTCCCCTACAGATAAAGCAATCACAGTGCACGCTATATGACCTAGTTGTTAAAAACGTTACCTAACAAAATTAATATTGGAAAGGGCGTGTCCCCGACTCCTGACCGAGTGTTTGTGGTGTGCTCGCAGGGGGCAGCAGCGACGGCTGCCCGGGCGTCAGCGAGGACGAGCTTTGCGGGGCGCCCAGCCCCCCGGCGGCCTCCGCGCAGGGGGCGGCGGCGGCGCAGCACGCCCAGCAGCACGCGCAGTCGCGCTCAGGGGGCGGCGGAGGCGGCGGCGGGGGCGGCGGCGGCGGCGGAGGCAGCAAGACGCGGCGGCGGCGCACGGCCTTCACCTCCGAGCAGCTGCTGGAGCTGGAGCGTGAGTTCCACGCCAAGAAGTACCTCAGCCTCACCGAGCGCTCGCAGATCGCCGCCGCGCTCAAGCTCTCCGAGGTGCAGGTACGCACGTGCAGAGTCAACTCTCAGCACCCAATATATATTTATAATGAAAACCTACCTATAACGTACATATTTTTAATATAATTCGTTTATCCTGTAGCCCAACTACATTGATACATTCGATCCAGATAATGAATTTTGTTTGCCAATGAAATTCGTAATCAGCAAGTTCATGTTAACGAAGGTTTACTGTATAATGCAACCTCAAAGATACCAATAAAATCAATATTGCTCACTGGTTTTAATAAGTTCTGGAAGAAATCGTAGAATTATTCATTTATTATAGTTAAATAAATGAATTACGCTATCGTTTAACTAATTATAATTGAATGAAAAATAAAATTATTATTGCGTTAATATAATTACGCTGCACATCAAAATAGTTAAGAATGATAGGCAGTTAGTTCTGAGACACTATTTTTTACGGAAATCATGGGGCTTTTTTTGTTTGTTTTGTATGGTCGCATTAACATATAGGTCATTAGGGACCACAATTGCATTTAACGGTATGGTAACTGTGAAGATGACATGATATGGTTATGATAGGGAGTGAAAAGACGAACATAAATACTACCATACCCGAGATGGGACTCGTACCCGCGGTCCTTTGGTCCGAGATCGCTACGGTACCAATGCTTTATCGATCGCAGCCATCCGGACCGGCCCAAGGCTTACTGTTAGTCTTTTCCTCGAAAGAAGGCAGTGTTTTAAGTATTATTGTTTTCATATTTATAATAAACATGTATAAAATTCGTTTCCAACATTCCATGACTGTTTGAACTGTAATTAATTCTTAGTTTAGAATACATCAATATTTTGGTTTACGACAATTGCCAATAGTTCCTAGAACAATCCGAGATACAATTATGTTTGCGTCCGAAGAGTAGATGTATTTTTGTCTCTAAATATCTCGTCTATACATCATCCTTTATTGACATTGATAAATGACTATAGTAACATTAATAATAATAATAATAATAATAGTAATAATAATAACTATTATTGTTGTTGTTGCTATTCGAGTGCAGTTTTGAGTGTGGCGGTGGTGTGTCCCGCAGGTGAAGATCTGGTTCCAGAACCGGCGCGCAAAGTGGAAGCGCGTGAAGGCGGGCCTGGGCTC